ATTTTTCTGTTATCAGCAGTATCTAATATATTACAGTAATTCATCATAAAATAAATTCACTTCGCAAAAAAAGCACAGAAGATGGTAGAATAAAAATGTGTTTATGGAACAAAAGAAGATTGATTAATCAGAGCAACAGTAAGAGCTCAATTCAATCTTATTTCTATATATTGATTTTTTAATATGATTTGCCTTAATAGAAGAGTTTTGATAATTTTGTTTGTTTAAAAAAGGACTTTCCATTAAAAAAAATGAAAAATACATACTAGTAAATCAAAAAGACTTGTAAGACAGGCTTTTCCGTGCCAAAGTATCTGTAACTGAGTTTGTAACTGCTGTGAAACCAGGAGCACCAGCTCCCGACCCAGTGTCATGGACCAGCTCAGCAGCACCAGCAATAAACTACTGCTGGAGAGAGACACTGGCCCCTCACTCCATCACTGGCTAAGCCCCCACACCATGGTACTATGCAGGACACAGCTGCCCGATGCAGAAATCTGTATGAAGGCTTTTCATCACTATGAATTTCCAAGCTGTTCTCAGTGGGAAATGCATCCATCTACTGAACTCTCCACCTGATACCAAGCTAGAGGAAGGGTTTGCCCCAGGCTACATCAGAAAGTTGCTCATTAACCTAGCAGGTCATAGACATGCCTGACAAACAGGGATTTGCATTTCCAAGGAAAGAGGGGATGTTTATTTTCATTGTACTTCTCCAAATTCACTTCCAGGTAAGGATGAAGTAATTAAGACATGGGGGATAGAGGAAATACATCTAGACCTGCTGGAACAGACTGGAGGAGTGAAGCGGTTACAGAAATTAATACGCTCTGCAAAGTTGTGCTTCTCTTAAATGGGTGCAACCCAATAAAGGGGCCCAAACCTCCCAATTAGGAGTTCAGGTCTGACCCATCTGCCAGGGCAGAGGTTTATTTACAAAAGAACTGAGAGATCCAGGCAAGCGACACTACAGCTTCCTAAACAATCAGTTTTTAATGAGCAGCTCCCTAGATCAGACTTCAGTTCTGTCTTTGGGTGATGTGCAGCAATATGAGAGCATCCCCCAAAGGGATTTTAGCTTATGTCTTCCCACTGATAACCCTAGCTGCACAGCAGGTTCACATGCCAAAGCCCTTCAGATACTGACTTAGTGACTCAGAAGATTTCCCTATCTCATGACAAAGCAAATGCTATTTTCCCCTGTGGAGACAGGCTGAGAGCTGGATTTGTTCAGCCTGGAGAAGAGAATGCTCCTTAAGGGGAGACCTTAGAGCTCCAGTGCCTAAAGGGGCTACAAGAAATCTGGAGAGGGGCTTTACAAGGGCCTGTAGGGACAGGACAAGGGGAATGGCTTTAAACTGACAGAAGGGAGACTGAGATGAGACAAGAAGAAGTTCTTCCCTGTGAGGGTGCTGAGACCCTGGCACAGGGTGCCCAGAGAAGCTGTGGCTGCCCCATCCCTGGCAGTGTTCAAGGCCAGGTTGGACACAGGGGCTTGGAGCAACCTGCTCTAGTGGAAGGTGTCCCTGTCTGTGGCTGGGGGTTGGAACTGGATAAGCTTTAAGGTCACTTCCAACACAAACCAGTTTGTGATTCTGTGACGATTTAATCACCTTGCTACAAGGACCCTCCTTCTGATGTTCTCCTGCACTGATACAATGGAATACAATGTGGGAGGATTAATACCACTAACAACTACTTTTGTGTTCCCTGTGCTGAAGGAGGTAGCAGCTCATCCCTCTGTTCAGCCCAGAGCCACGTGGAAGGCACAGCCACAGTGGTCAGCTGGAGTGCACAGGGAGAGGAGGTCTGCTGGTACAGCAGAACAAATGTGCCACCCATCCTCCTTCATCATGCCTACTCACACCACTGAGAAGTGTCATCTTCTCTTCCATGTGCTGGTAGCTGTGACCCCATGAATTCTCCTATGAATCCATGAGTCCATCTTCTCAGGACACAGATAACTTCTGCTGTGTTTATAGAGTGACCAACCAAGACAGAGATTTTGAAAGCTCCTGTTGTTTTGGGGTTTTTTTTGTTTTGTTTTGGGGGGTTTTTTTGGTTTTTTTGTGTTTTCTTTTTTTCCCAACAAACCACTTTCCACAAACCCCCATGAGGTTTTAAAATTCCTTGAAACTGTAAAGTACACACCCCCATGCTAAAATTGTTAACTTCTGACATGCAGGACAGCCACATGCATCTGCTGAGAAGGGGTTTGTCACAGGTTTAAAATGGTGCTGACTCATGAAAGTGCCTCTCTGCTGTTTTTGTAAAGGATGCCAAGGACAGGCAGGAGAAACACTAAAAGATACTTGCATGAATAGAAATAAAAACATTCTGAGATTGTTCTGTTCCCAGAAGTACAGCTTTCAATGCACACTGACCTTCAAAACCAGCAGCACGCTCAGAGCTGGCATGGGGACAACAATCCAAGTTCAGTTGGCTTGGGGAAATACCTGTTTCCGTTTAAAGAGGTCTACTTTCTGCCAGAAGTTACTCAGTCCAAACCACTCTCAGCCCACTCCCTCTGCTCCTCCCTTTCTCTGGCTTTCTGAGTTACTTGGAACAAATTGCACAGGAGACACACTTTTCCAAACCATTGCCAAGGGCAGTTTTTCCCTGATCACCTTTCATTCTGCCTTAGCAAACATACGTTATCTTTCCAAAGCACACCTTGAACAGAGTTGTTTGTTTGCTTTTCCAAATTCTCATTGCTCAAATTTCCCCCCAAGTTAGTTTTGTCCATTGTACACTGAACACAAGTTAGTGGCAGAGTGCTAAGCTTCAAGCCTGACCCACTGTCAAAAGATGCAATTGATATGAAATTATTTTATCACACATGAAGCTGCAAGGTAAGAGATGACATCCTGGAGGGTAAGGGGGCCATATATCTACAGAGGAAAAGCATTTCACAGGACTTGAATGAAAGATTGTGTGAAAGCTGGCCCCTGCAAGGGCTCCTTCCTTTTTCAAAGTGTGAAGGTGCTGTGTTTGCAACCCTATAGCACTATCCTCTGCAAGAAGCCTTCCATTCCCAACTCTAGAACAGCAGACGAGTTGTGCATGACATGAGCTGTGCATTACCAACTCCAGGAGACACCAGATCTCCCTCACTCTGTTACAGGATGACCAGTCAATCTTGTGCACTGAACCCATTTTCCATGCTTCTCACAAGGCTGCTAGGCAGCTTATTGAGTTTAGGTCAGAAGGAGGATCTATTTGCTTACAGAGCAGAGAGAGCCACTTACCTGTTTTCCTTCAACTGCATTTTAAAAACAAGCTAGAAACAAGCACACTCTCTTCCTTGCATGTTCTGTCCTCCAAAAAGAATCCTGATCTGTGGCTCCTTCTGACATGGAGTGAGGCACAAAGCCAGCCAGGTCCCAGCTTGCTCCCATCATTTAAGCTCATTAGGTCCAGGTGATGACATGATGAATACACTGCAGGTGGCTCCCTTCTCAGGACACCAGGTGATATGTTCCCACTTTCACTTCCCCTATAAGTGTATGAGGGCATTTCCATCCCTGACACATGTTGTTTCTGGAGCATTTCTAGGATCTGAGATATCTATGGCCATGCTCACAAATTATCTGCTCCAAACTGAAGCCTGATGCTTCTGCAGTGTGCCCTGTATCATCACCTGAGGCAGGTGAACATCCTTCCCCGCCAGGCTGGTACAATTCATGAATGAAAACAAAGATCCAAAATGGTGGGCAGGAGCGTAGTGTGTACTTGTGCACAACAGAGAAGAATAAACCATCTTGCTTGTACCCAACCTTTAGCTGAGTGCGTACACAGCAGACAAAAGGAGTATGTAGCTGGGGTAGGTTGTGTTCCTCTCCAGGGAGTGCCAGCAGGGCGGGTGCGCGTCACAATGGTGGCGGTGGCAGGGGCCGGTGGGGCAGAGTGCGGGGCGGGAGCGTGTGCGGCTGAGCGAGTGCGGTGCTGGCGATTGCGAGGCTGCCTACGGCCATATCACCCTGGAAACGCCCGATCTCGTCTGATCTCGGAAGCTAAGCAGGGTCGGGCTCGGTTAGTACTTGGATGGGAGACCGCCTGGGAATCCCGGGTGCTGTAGGCTTTTGCCAGGCGACAGGGGCCCCTGCGGGCCATGGCCGTCCCCTTTTTCTTGCTGGGGCGTCGCGGAGGGCGCCTGTGCCATGTTGCTGGGGGGCTCACAAGGCCAAGTAGTAATCCCACCACTTAGAAGGAGGGAAATAATACAGACAAAACAGAAAGAATGTCACTGAAGAGCAGAAGCATTAGTGGCACATTGAAAGAGACACAAGAGGATCAGTAAAAATGCTAGAGATAGCTAAAATGACAACTGCCAAATGTGGAATAGGTTTGAAAAACTATCCAGTTGTAAAGAAAAAGGTTGAAAAGGGAATACTGAAATCAGGAATGGAACCAGGAGATTATTGGTTAATAGATTTTTCAGAAATCAATGGATATTGATTTGGATGTTATTGGGAGCCAGTTTTGGTGGGGTGTTGCGAAGGGGCAGGTCTGCAGGCTGCTCCCATGCAGCTGTTGTAGGGGAGTGGTAGAGATTGTGCTGTGCTTGGATGGGAATTCTTCTTTGGTTTTGTGGCCTCTTGTTCTTTGATTTGCCTTTGTTTTGTGCTAATGATGGACTGGTGGGATTTAATTTTTGATGGTTTTTTTTTTTCTGCTCTTCAGTCTTTTAAGTGCTTTCGGCTTTTTCTTCACCTAAGCTTTAAATATTTTGTATAATTTAAAAATAAATTTCCCTTGTATATTTTCTGATCATTACGCTTATTTATCCTGTCCACATGTTACCTAGAGTTTTTAGCTGTACCCACGTTTCTGTACTTGTCTCCGAGGCTGGAGCATTGGCTCGATGATTGCAGTGTCTGATGCTGTTACCTGTTTTTAGGGGTGCCGTCATGCTTGTGTAGTTCCTGCAGCAATGCCTTTCCACATTGCCTAATTCCTGATTGCCTGTGCTGTGGGAGCTGCCGCCAGGGCAGCAGACACTAGGTGAAGAGCCCGTGGTTGTCTGCGAGGGGCCGTGCCATGCTCTGGAATGCCCACTGCAGGATCCCGTCCCAGGCGCCCTGCAGGACAGTCCCAAGGTCATTCTCCCGATCCATCCCACTCCCTGCCCCTTGTTTGTCCTGACCGTCTCTGCCTCGCCCCCCACCTAATGTCATCCTGTAGGTCACACCAGAGACATAGTCCCCTGAATGGACTGTGCCTGTTGGTGTCTGTGAGTGCCATACCTCACCCAGGAGGGCGTCAAGCTCCTCCCTGCTCAGCACAGGGTCGCTGCCGAGGGAGCCATTTTCTGCCTGCAGGAGGAGACATGTCCTGTCAGCTTTCCTGCCTGCAGCCCTTTGGGTCAGGGCTGGTCGACTGGGTTCTGTCACCTGGGGCAGGCTCATCTCATACCCCACGTCTCTAGCCCCCTAACCCCCTCACCCCCCTCTCCAGTACAGCTTCATAGAATCATAGAATGGTTTGGGTTAGAAAGGACTGTAAGATCATCTAGTTCCAACCCCATGTCATGGGCAGCGATGCCTCACACGAGGCCACATCGCCCAGGGCTCTGTCCAGCCTGG